TGGAGGAACACTGCAGAAGAATATTGCCATAGAAACGTTGACACTAAAGTACAAACAACTAAAGAAAAATGGCTGATTTATACTTTGTCAGAACTAAATACTTTTGTGCTCAGTAGTCGAGACAGAGTCAAGAAAGACAAAAGAAAATTCTCAGACTGGGAGAAGATGCTGTGTACTGTCTATCACACAGGCTACTACACCAGACTCGTTAAGAAGTGTAACAACTCCATATAAACAAATAGCCCAACTAAGCATGGGCAAAAGATAAAATACAAATCCAATAGGTATAAATCTATCATTATATACAGTGATTTTATGAGAAAATCTGTAAGATTATGAGAAAACAATATAAGAACTAAACAATGGGGATTAATGATCATGGATAGAAGGAAAGACTATTATCAAGATGCCAGTTCCTTGTGTGTGGCCTGTGGAAGTGCCTCAACAGGTAAAATTCTGGTGGTTCAAGTGTGAAGACAGAAGAGTGGATCCAAAGTCCCTATAAATTTGCCAGAGATCTAGCCCAGCTGAATAGGCCAGCTCTGGGTTCAATTGAGAGACCTGGAAATGTAGAAAGATATTGATGATGGTACTTTATGTAATCCTCTGGCTTGAAATCATATGAGCATGCATACTCACATACACATGTACACACACACACACACACACACACACACACACACACACACACATTCAGTTCTTTCCAACTTGATCTATAGATTTAATGTAATCCCTAACAAATTCCCACTAGGTTATTTTGTGTAGTTTAACAAACTAATTCTGAAGTTTTTTCGCCCAATTGCCTTTCCAGTACTATGGAGAATAGAAATGGCAAAAGTTCATATGCTCATCATATTCTGTACCTTCAGGGAAGATTTCCAACTATTCTTTGTTCAGTTTGGTTCTAGCTGTGGATTTTTACTGTGTTGGGGCTCATTCCTTCTATGTTTAATTTTGAGAGATTTTTCCTTTATCGTGAAAAGATACTGAATTTTGTCACACGCTTTTCCTGAATCTATTCAAATCTAATAAAATCTGTTGCTAATCAGTTGGTTTTATCTTTCATTATGTTAATGTGGTGATCATATTTACCTGTTCGGTCAGACCCTCATAGCCCAGGGGTAAAGGCCCCCTGACTGGTGAATGCTATTCTCGGTGTGCTGCTGAGTTCTTTTGGGTGGTGGTCCCTTGAGGTTTCCTCATCCCTCTCCATCATGGATACTGTTCTCTGGCTTCCTTTTTTGTGTGTTCTTGTTTGATCTGAGTACCCAAGATAGTTCTGGCCTTGGAGAATGAGTTTAGAAATCTTTTCCTATTTGAAAATGTTTTGATCTTTTGAAAATAAGGAGTATGAGTTCTTCTTTAAGTGTTTTGTGGACTTCGGCAGTGAAGTCACCAGGTCCTGGTTTTTCGCAGAAAGGAATGGGGTGCTGGTAATGCTATGATGTACATAGACCTTGAAAACGTAACATATGTCAAGTGAAAGAAGCCAGATGTGAGAGGTCACATATTATATGAATTCATTTGCATGAAATGTCCACATAGGCAAGTCTAAAGAGACGGATTGGACAAATGGTTCACAACGCATTGGTGTGAAGGTAGAGAATTGAAGGTGACTACATAATGGGTATGAGGTTTCCTCTTGTGGTTAAAAAAAATCTAGAACTAGATAACAATGAATATATATATATATATATGTATATATATATATGTATATATATATGTATATGTACTAAAAGTCCACTAAATTGTTCACTTTGAAGTGAATAAAATAGTGAATTTTGTTACACAAATTTGCCTAATTAAAAAAGATTTAAATGTTGGAATCATATGCTGACATGAGAAAAAATATTTACCCATAAAAATAACGTTATCAAACACTGTTGAGTTTAATCATCCAGGTTCATTCAAACCAATCTTGCTCAATAGGTAATTATAGAGACATTTAACATCAAGCTGTCTTGGGAGCCAGGCCAGTCTCAGAAACCATAGTGATCTAGTCTCAAAGTAAAAATAGAATAGGACTTTTAATCTTATTAGAATCCTTGGATGTTAAAAGAGGCGTACATTCATAATATAACAAGTATCAAGGGGCCAGTCTTGTCAAGCGGGGGTCTACAGCCAGTGTCTACATTTGGATTTAGCTATTAGCTATTGCACTTGTTATCTTGGAAAGTCTTGCATTTAATCTTCCTGTCTTCCCTTCCTTCCTTTCTTTTCCCTTCTTTCTTTCATTGTGTTTATATAGCATCTGTCTGGGTGTATGTGTGTGCACATGTGCATGCCATGACCCATATATGCAAGTCAGTTCACTATGTGGGTTCTGGAGCTCAAACCCAAATCATCAGGCTTAGCAGCAGGCATCCTTACTGGCCAAGCCATCTCACTGGCCCTATTTTCATTATTTCTATGGGTTAATATTTTTTATCTAGCTACTAGGGTTCCAGGGAGAGTTAAATAGATTCATAAATACAAACCGATTTTCATAGAGCTTGGCATATATGTGCTCAGTAAATGTTAACAACATAATTTTACTATCAGCCTTCATATTAGCCACCCATGAGCCTGACTCCTGTTCCCCAAAATACTTTCAAAATCAGCCCCCACAAATTATTTTTCTCTAATGATAATATACCTTTCTTTAAAATGAACCAAATGAAGATAAGTTTGGTTTCTTGATTTTTACCTTCTAGTCAACACACAAACTGACCAATGGAGACTTTACCTCTGCAGAAGAAGGAGAAATATGTATAGCTATGAAAACTTCAGGAAAGAGTCTAGAAAAGTAAAATTACCTGTATCCAGGTGGTAGGGAGATGGGCATGTTGATTTTTGTAACAGTGAACACACATTTAAGGTCACTGTGTACCAGCCAAAGAGCTAAAGCTGCATAAGCAAGAAGACCTGGGTTTGAACCCCCAAACCCAAGCAACACCAGGCAGAATGCATCTGTGATCCCACTACTTCTATAGTATGATGGGAGGCAGAGACAAGAAAATCCCAGGAAACTCGGATAGCCTGGCCCACAGGGGAACAACAGAGACCCTGTCTCAAACAAGGTACAAGGTGAGGACTAGCACCTGGGGTGGTCCTCTGCCCTACACACGTGTACTGTGGCACACTGGAGTCCACATTCACACACACCGCACACTGACAAAAAAAAATTTACTTTTCCAATTTTCAAAAATTTCTGCAAAAATATATTCTGTAATCAAGTATTTTATTTTATGTAAATATGTACTCACAGAAATGGACCTCATTACGATAAAGTCAACACACTGGTAGTTGTAGTAACTACTGCAGTGAAATTTTGTGGAAAGAGTTGAAGATCTGTTACTTGAAAAGGGAAAGCTCAGGGTGAGTTAGACACCATAGCTACCATCCTATGCTTCAAAAACAGTCTGTGGGAAGAGGAATTGGACTTGGTCTCTATGAGCACTTTCACATGTGAGCTATAGCCTATGAGGGAAAATTCTAGAGGTATTTTTTGCTTGATATAAGAATGTCCTTTCAAAAAAAATCTCTCCCAAATGGTAATTCATCCAAATTAACAAACATTTAAGATGCATGTGTCCAAAAGATGATGAAGTCAAAGGACATTTTCAACTCTGAAATGTTTATTTAGTGCTGTGTTTATGTTAATGCAGACTAAGCAAAGAGAAGAGCCATATCATCACACACACATACACACAAGCACATACATACACATAGAGACAGAGACAGGCAGACAGACACACACACACACACACACACACACACACACACACAAGACTGCTTTGTGGTATTACTTCAATGCAGTTTTGATACTGTTATTAAGCACCGATGAAGTGGATTCTAGACACAAGAAAGGGCCCAAGTATATGACAATGAGAAAGGCTACAAGAAACAGGATTCATTTCTATCGGTGATTCTCTCCTCGCTCAGGCTGGCCTGCACCATCCGTCTTCAGTTTCTATGGTCTTCACTCTAATCGTTTTGTGATTGATGTTTTCCTGCCATGAGATTCAGTCCTGTCCTCATCTGTGCCACCACTGGTCACAGGCTTCCTTGTCCTTGAGTTGCTTCATTTTGCAGAATCTTCAAGTGGTTCATTTTGATGGGAAGTAAATCTTCCCGATCCTGTTTCACTTCCAGCCATCCTTATCCTTTGGAACACCAGCCTCCCATTTCCTAGTGTTCCAGGCTCTCACACAGTAGGAGGAGTCCCGGAAAGCCCAAGTTCTGCTGTCCCCAGGTCTGACGGCTCTGAGTCCTGCTTTGGCAAAGCTGTGAAGCCCGCACAGGGCACTTGCAGCGACGCGGGCAGGGCGCACTCAGAGCCCCAGCCAGAGGGCGCCAGCACCCACCCCGCACAGAAGCTCTTCAGCACTCAAGAGTGGCTTCCAGACAGTTCCCCAGTTAGCTAGCCAGAGGTCGACCTGTAAGAAAACAATCTCTCAGTCCTGCCCACCACAGTTTCTTCGCTGCCCGTTTATTTTTGGTGTTCTTGTATGCAGATGCTTAGCTCCAGGGGCGACCCTCCCCCACTTAACCCTCAAAAAAGGCTCTCACCCGGGCAGTGACCCGGTAGTCTCTTCTTGGAAAGGCAGTGCCTTTGGGGACAGGCTTCTGTGTCAGATTCTTGCAAAGGGTCGAGCGCGCCCCGCGATCGCAGAGGAGGGGTGTGCAGCTGAGCTCAGAGTGGGAGCCCAGGAGGTGGAGGTGGGTGGGGGACCCAGAAGGGCGCCTGGTCAGGAGGGAGGCGACCAGAGGAGGCCAGGCAGGGGCTTTGGCTTCCCTGGGGTCTGATTGGAGGTTGGCCCGATGAGTCGGAGCTGGGGGCGCGCCCATCTCCACTGGCTAGGGCGAGAGCCGCCGGCTCGGCCCCTCCCCGGAGCCGCTTTGTCCCGGGTGACGGCGGCGGTGGTTGCGGGAGCACCGGCAGGAGGCACAGCTCGGGTGACCCCGCGACCCGGAGAGCGGGAGGCGGCGCGCAGTGCGCACCGCCCCACGCCCAGGTCCGCGGGCACCGCGCTCGCCCCGCCGTCAGGTGAGCAGGCAGAGCCGCGCCCGCAGCCTTCCGCCCCGAGGACCCCCGAGCCGCCGCCACTGTCGCCGCCGCCTCCGCGGCGCATCGAAGACGCCCTGCAGGTCGGTTACGTAACGGCGCAGGCCCTATCACCCCTGTCCCCTGTCCCACCAGGGCTGAACGGCTGGGTGCCAGGGGACCTGGGCAGTGGGAATCCAGGACCGCGGCATTTAAGGGCAAGGCTGGAGCAGCTGGAGAGATCTAGTGGCCAGTCCCCAAAGCATCCCCGGGGACAGTTCTCCCATGACCCCCTCTAGGAGGCGCTCATCTCCAAGAGCCCCCTCCCCATTCCTACTCGCCAAGGGTCCACCCTCCCAGGTGCAGCAGCAGGTGCATACGGACTTGAGGGTTCAGAATAACTCGGTTGCCCTGGGCGTTGGGCTTAGAGAGGGAGCTGGGGGAGAGGAACAACACAGAGAGAAAGGGAGAAAACGAGGAGACCCCTGTCTAACCAAGCTTTGCCAAATTTGTTAGGGAGGGGGAAAGGGGCTTTTGGACACAGCGGGCTGAGAATTGTCCTGCCTGGGCTTAGCCGGCTTGGGTCATCTAAAAATAACTTCAAGTTTGAAAAGTGACATGGTCAGGAGCGCGGTGTGCCGGGTTCGTCGTGCCTGTCAGGCTTTTCTCTTCAGAAGTCATCGGAGGGGACAGGGCAGTCCGTCTCGGCCACCTGATCCCTCTCGGCTCCCTCTGGATCTCGTTGGTTTCCAGGGTGCCTCGGTTTGACTTTTGGTTAATGATTTATTCCCCTAAGGCCTTGCTGTCTTTTTTTTCTTATCTGAGATGGATTTGAGCAGATTGCATGCTTCGACACTCTCCTTTTTCTTACGCCGGGGTCGAAGTGGTCAGCGGAGGACTATTACACCCACTGCCAAAGCGATGTTTTAAAAAAAAAAAAATCTTGCTTTAGCAAAAACAACAAAAAGTGTTTCTTGTTTCCCTTTAATTATGCAGCCCTAGCATTTTCCACGGACGGAGACGAAAGGATGTGAAAGCATTCTTTAGCCAGAATTCATGTATAGCAAGACTTTTAGGAAAAACGATGCATTTTTGCTACATAACTTAACTTCCATCCATTGTTCTTAATTACAGTAAGTTCAAAATACATAACAAGGGAGTTGTGGCCATTTGGTCGATCTTGCTGACCAGGATCTGGGTTCCAGGAGATCATAAAGATAGATATGGACAGTAGGTAGGATGAGTCAAGAAGCAGGCCAGCATGGGCTGTGGGTTGCAGGACTGAACCCTGTGCAGCTTTTCAGGAGCCGCATTGATTTTCCTTTTAGCCTTATGGAGCTATTATACCACCTATGACCGGTCACTGGGCTCAATTAGCCTGAAATAGGAGTTGTGCTTGGCTTTCCAATCCACTGCAAATCAAATCAGTATTTACTGAGCACCTATTACCTGAATCTGGTAAGATGATTTGGGGAGGGAGAAGTGTCCTCAACTAAAGTGACCAGATTGTAAGATCTTAGAAAATGCTGAATGTGTGCAGGTCCTTCACAAGCCATCTAAATCCGGGAGGATGCAGCTTTCCCCAGTGAGGGACATTTAACACAAGTGGGAACTCGAGAGCTTTCTCGTTTGCAAGTACTCATCACACTTGCATAACTGCAGATTCTCAGGTGTGTGGCGGGGATGGGCGTTCTTTTTATCGGGTCCGACGTTGACGGGGACCACGGAGGTTGCATTTACCCACTTCTTTAATTCTCTGCGCCGGTTTATTGACCTGCTATTCGGTGAGCACCTACTGTGTCTGTGCAGGCTCTGTGCTAGGGGTGAAAAGAGACGAGGCCCTAGACTTCCCAGAAAAGAATCCAGCAGAAAATAAATGGTAGTGATTCAGCATAGTGAGCATTTAATGTAGAAAGGAGCGAGGTCAGTGGGAGCCAAGAGATGGGAGAGTGGAAGGAATCTAGAGGAGTCTGCCAGAGAGTACACATTTGGACCGGGTCCCAGTGGGTGGTTGGCATTCTCTGGAGAAGGCACTAGGCATCTTGTGTAGAAAGAAAGGTTAGGTTCAAGAGCACCTCGTTATGAGGTGACAGGGTATCGCAGCTGAGGAGGCTATGGTGAGCTGGGGGTTCTGAACAGATTCTACTGAAGAGGAGGCACCATGCAGCCTCTCATAGGAGAAATGATTCGATCTCATTTATATTTCGCAAACGTGACTCTGGAGGATGAGGGAAGTAGGGCGACAGAGTGGGAACTCAGGTGTTAGGCGACTGGTATGGTTCAGGTCCCTCCACGTCCTCCCCAAGTCATGAGGTGTGCATGAAGCAGGTGCCAGGAGCAAGAGAAGCAAAATCTACAGGGAACCTTTTCAGGGCAAATCGGTGTCACTTTGTCACCAGGTGAGGACTGGTAAAGAAGGAGGGGCTTCGGCGTGTGGGGGCGTGGTCAAGCTTTGAGTGAGGTAAGGCGCCGGCGTGTGGGGGCGTGGTCAAGCTTTGAGTGAGGTAAGGCGCTCATGAAGATGGGCAGGTTTGAGAGGGACTGGGTTTTTCCTTTGAATATCCAAACAAGGCACTTCTGTTTACAAAGGGGGCTTCTTCGTTCTGGAACTGTCTACCACTCTAGCTTTCCTTCCTTCCCGAGGCTATCAAGTGTTGCCTCTGGGGAAGAGGGAGGTGAACTCTCTCCGCAGTAGGATATCGTCGCTGCCTTTAACGCTCCCCGCTCCCCGGAAGTGAACATTTTAACTCTGTTGTGTGAATACTGCTAATGGTAATCATTAGAACGTGTGGCATTTATTCCGCGCTGGCCGTCATCACTGGATAACCTGCAGCTGACCTTAGGCGGCCCTGCGGTTAGTCTCGAGGAACTGATAAGGAAACAAGGCTAAGAAATAATAATAGGTTGTCTAGAGCACACAGTTGGTAAGGGGTGCACCTGGTGTTGGAGCCCAGGTTCTGAGCAGCGTCGCCAATCACCAGTGTGAACTGATAGCATTGAAATAACCCCTTCCCGATGTTTGGATGCCTGTGGCCAATGCTGCAGAAGAGAACGGAGCTGGACAGGAGTCTCGGCTTCTCCCTGAGTTCTGTGCTTGATCGCATATACAGTGAAACCTTTGCAATCTGACATCTCCTCTCTGGCTTGGGCTATTTTATTTTAAAACTCATTGTTTTTAGTGTGTGTGTGTGTGTGTGTGTGTGTGTGTGTGTGTGTGTGTGTGTACATGTCTGGGGGTGGCTGCCGAGGTCAAAAGAGGGGTAGAGATCCATTGGAGCTAGAGTTACAGGCAGTTGTGAGCTGCCTAAGGTGGGTGCTGGGAACTGAACATGGGTCCTCTGGAAGAGCAGCAAGCGCTCTTACCTGCTGAGTTCTCTCTTCAGGCTGCGTTATTTTGATTGTAACGGCAGAAGAAATTGGCTCGGTATTCTGTAAGTAATCTCTGTGTTCTGAAGTCCTGGCATCCTGTTCCGGGTTTGTCTTCTAGCGCTGCAGATCTGTGTTCCATTCATGCCTGCATGGGTACTTTGTTCTTAATGGCTTGACATGGCATAACTAGAAGTACAGAGGTAATGGGAGAGTCTAATGTTGAGAGAGCTCAGCTAAAGGGTACCAAGTTAGAGGACTCTCCCATAGGCAGTGATCCCATTCTTTACTTCAGACATGTTACTTAGATTCTGAATGTTTCCTCATCATGAAAACAAAAACAAAAAACTAGGGAAATTAGTAAGCATCTAGTAAGGTAGCTATGGGAATTGAAACGTAACAGGAACTAGGTGCTGAATTAAAGTTGGCCTCATTGCGGGGTGTGGGTGGTCCACACCTTTAATCCCAGTACTTGGGAGGCAGAGCCAGGCAGATCTCTGTGAGTTCGAGGCCAACCTGGTCTACAAAGTGAGATCCAGGACAGGCACCAAAACTACACAGAGAAACCCTGTATCCAAAAAAAAAAAAAAAAAAAAAAAGAGGTTGGTCTCACTGAAAATACTCTAGAAATTGGGCCACACCCTTCATCCCCAGGACAACAGATGCATAGAAAGGAAAAGCAAAGTGTCTCTGAAGATGCTTTACTATCCTGTCATCCTTTGTTTAAAGTTATGTGTATATTTATTTGTGTATATTTGTGTATGCATGTTCATGTGTGTGCAGAAGCATGTGCTCATGTGTGTATGATGTGGAGTCTGGATGACAACCTCACGTGGAATCCTCAGGAATGCCAACCACCTCCTTTGAGACAAGGCTTCTCATCAGCCTGGAGCTCACCAGTTAGGCTAGACTCGTGAGCCAGTGAGTCACAGGGATCCTCCTGTCTCGGCCTCCTACTCCTGGGATTACAAGTGCATGCCGCCACACTGGCATTTACTCACTTTACCAGCTCCCTGACTATGAAGTTAAGATCTACTCCTGCTTTGGGTAGCACCTACCATAGGGAGATTGCTGAGATGAGGCGCGCGCGCATGCACACACACACATACACACACACACACACACACACACACACACACACAAATGCCTTCCAACACATGACTCTGAGAAGATGCAGAGTGACTCCCTTTCCTGTGGAGCCTGTACCTGCCTTTCATTTTCCCTAATTCCTCATCCCTCCTCGCCTTCTAAAATGCTTCTTGTCCTTGTTTTCCCCCTTGTGCTATGGATTTCCAGGTGTTGTTTTTTTCACAGGTTAACTTAATTCACCTAGTTTATGAGTCAAAAAGCCTTTTAAACTTAGCCGAAGACATTGTGAAATTGATAAGGAATTCTGGTACTTTCTAGATGTTAAAGAAGTGCTTCCAGAAAGAGCTTACGTTTCCCACAGTCTACAATGTTCATAGAAATGTCTCCCGTCACAGGGAAGGAGAGGACTGTAATTTCACATCTGAGCTCTCTGTGCTCAGCTCACTGTGAAACAATGACTAAAATGTGGAGTTTCTACATTGTAGAGCGCATGCACTAAAAGATATGTGAATGCTCACTGTTGGACTAAAGAATAAAATACATGCACTGTGAATGAGACCCTAGCTTTTTAAAACTATTGCCTGAGTTCTTTAAGGGAATAACTACCTTGTTCTAACAGATTTATTCTGCCATGGGCCACCCCATAATA